CTGAAGATCTGTGAAGTGCTGGAATCAAGGCATTACCTTCTTCTAGTCTCATAAACATTCATTCAGATTTGGATACACTATTGATACGGCACAGGAAAAACCAGCACTCAGCAGCTTTAGCGCGATCTGCTCCTACAGATTTGCTTTTTTGGACACAAACAGTTCAGTGTTTCGCTTTGGCAGTCTGTGTGGTACAGACTCTTAAGCTAACGGTAAAATGGATCTCCTACCACATAGGAATATATTTCACCCCAGGAATCAGGAGCCAGTTCTACATTTGTCTTTTAAATGGTTATAATAAATTCACACATTTCACAAGTAAATTCCCAATCCCTGCACTACCAAACAAACCCATGCCTAACAGCTGCATTCAGCCACCCAACTTAACAGCCATACAGGGAGCCGAGTCACAAAAGGCACAAAAGCTGAGTGTCTTGGGAAGCACGTGTCCAGTCTATGTCCTTGGTTCATCTAGCTGCACTATGAGGCACAACACATGACTACATTGGTGTTACTGCATCACACGATCACACTGCTGACTAGATGAAGCTTTAGAGCATCTAATCCTTCTACGTGCAAAAAATATTCCCTTGATCTGCAGTGGCAAACTGGAAAATGGCAAACCATTATATACTGAATGGTCACATTCAAAATTCTCGTCTGAGAGAATGAGGAACATTTGGTATCCTTGCACATAAAGCAATGAGTTCTTGCCTTTTCATTTACAAAAAGGACAGGAAGCAACAGGCCAAAACCCTTATCAAAATAATATTCTCAAATACAGTTAGGTGGAAATTACAGATTTGATGTAGCATTAATTCTGCTGCATTATGCATTAACATTACCAGATTATCTTTAACTTCCCAGTGACATCTTAGGCTTTTTTCCACCAAACAATGTGCCATTCAGTGGACAGAGTAAAAAATCTTGGGAATAAATCAAAGCCAAATAGAGAATTAGGCTGTTGTAATTGTTGTCCTTGCTGTATAAATAACACTTTAAAGTAAGATTTACAAATATTTACTGTTATTCTATGTAAATTAAATAAAGCTCTTTTAATTCTGGGAGAAAAAAAAACACAAAAAAACCTCCTTGACTGGACCACGTTTGACCTTTCCTCCCTACTGTAATCCAAAGAGACCCACGACACCCTGTGGTTGTCAGAAATAATGCAGGAATGCAGAAAGCCATGAAGAATGTGAAGATGCTTAGCACCATTCTCTGGTTCACAAAATCAAGATGTGGCTAGAAAAATGAAGACATTGAACTATTTACAATCCAAGTTAAAGAGTCAGTAAAGATGACCTTAACAGGATCAACATTTGTGACACGCACACCAAGACAACCCAACCCAAAGCAACAATCATCACTCAAAACACAAACTCCAATAATTTTATCTCCAGGCAAATATGACAGCCATCCTCCCATGGAGTAAGAAGCACCTCTTTTATGGCAACTGTGTAAATCCCATATATTCTCTCCTCGAAAAACAACAGTATAATGAGGAAATCTCACAGCCTGCAATGTATACCCTACAGCCGTCCATACATGCACTGGAGACACAGAAAAGAGAAAGAATCTGCTGAAGGCTATAAGAGAGCATGCTGCCTTCCAAACTACTTTGAACTGCTGAAATGCCATCCCAGCTAAAACCAGTCCCTGGGGCTGTCCTTTTATATAGCTTCCCAAAGGGGAGAGGGAATACTACAGCTAGCTTTGCTATCCTCCAATATAAATACAGTACAGTGGAGAGTAAAGATCACCAAAGGTGCGTGTTTTATGCATGGTGTGCTCTCTCTGTAATGCATCTGTTGTGAAATAACCTTTATGGTGCCTTCTCTTAATTTGGAGACATTTATGTTAATGATATAGTTGCAGATGGACACCTGAAGCTGAAAGGTAAGTATTCTGAAATGAAAGCATTGTTGCATAAACTTGAAATGTAGAAGGCAAACAAACAAGTGCTAAATACCTTCTCTAGAGAAAAATCTTGTTAAAAGAACTGCTGGATGAAATTCTATGACCTATGAAAACTTTAGGTCATAGTAACGGACCACAATATATCTCTTTCATTCTTTAATAAGTATTAAATAAGATAATGTTAATAAAGCCCATATGTGGAATATATTTTTAAACAGATCAGAAGGTTTAACAATGCTCTGATGTCTAACAACACACACAACACAAATACAAGAGGAAATACATTTGAGATTTGGTGTCAATCTTTTGAAATCTGAAGCAACTACTTCATATCTGAATCCATTCTTTGGTTAAGACTGACAAAAACTTAGATGTGGCGTTTCAACAATATTCTTCAATTAATCTATTAAAATTACAGAAACTAATAACAAAAACAACCAAGATGTCTGTATCAAATACTGAAGTTAGCTTTGGTTCAATAAAGTGGCATGTATAAAGCTATTTATTTGCAAGCTAATTCAATGCAACGCCTATTAAAGTGTATTTTGCCAGTGACAGCAAAATAAATCGGCAAGTATATAAAGAAGAAAGACTGAGTATTTGTTGCTTTCAAACAAACAGCTCCTGCCTCTCCAGTTCAGACAATGTATTACCAAACTGTGCTCTTCCTCTGATCTGGCTACGTTTTACTTTCAGAGTTTGCCAACCATTTATTTCTACCGTGTTAGGACGAAAGATTATTTCTTCCGTAAGCATATATGAAGTCCACATATCATCACCTGTAACTGTTCAGCAACCACACAAGACCTTTTAATTGCTTCATTGGATAAACATTTGCTTGAGTCACCAAAGACTAATTCTACATCTTTTCCTGGAAAAAGAGATTAAAATTAAAATGCTGAAACACCTAAACTGAGCAAACATGCAGTCACAATTTACCCATACCCTTTTCACTCTTTTCCTGTTGCATGACCAAACTAAACAAGGAAGTGAATGAAAAGCTAACACTCATTTGCCAAAATGTTCACCTTTAGAATAAACAAACCACAGTGCAGCTTAATGAAAAAGGAAAATACCCTGTTGCCACTGACAGTAATCACTAAAAGCACACAGCGTGTGAGACTTTGGATCAACGAAAGATCAAGAGGGAAGAAAGGGAAAATGGTATAAATTATTAAAAACACACAAATTAAAGCACGATGTTATAGAATACAATGAATTCAGGTGATAATGTTCAATTCACATCTAAGGTATAATTCAACTGAATGCAGGAAGAATTCAAGTGATAGATATAATTAATTTAAGACAGAGGCTTACCTTGACTATCCAATAAAACTTCTCTGTGAACAGGAAAGTAGTTCCATACTCCTACCTTGGATGAAAGTCTGGCGTCAGGCAGTACGAACGTTCTGAATCAGCTCAACTGAAGGGCAGGTTTATTTCCCAAATACAGGTCTGTTGCTCTCTGATAAGTTGTTTTCAGACAGAACCCATGAACACTCTATACTCTGAAAAATCTGGTCTCTGTGGAGATCGGTGAGGGTTGTTTCTGGGAATATGGCAATCAGCACCATGCCTAAGCAAATATCATGATGTAACAGCATTCTTAGCATGCTTTTCCTCAGAATCCAGAACTCCAAAATGGTAAGGGATCCAAATCCACAGCCTAGATATCACACATCTCACAGTACTGTTTAGATGTACTCAGAGACAGATCTGATATTTAAATACTCAAAAATGCATTCTAGCAGTCCGTGTAACTACAGTTCTTTCACAGCACTTTGAATTGGTAGGAATGAAATCCCATTCTGTGTAAGATTTTCAAACTGACAATGTCATTTCACACAGCCCCAAACATTTTGATTTGCTTTGTACATGACAGGTTATTTGCAAAAGAGGGCTGAGGCTAAAGATTCCTTTCATTTCCATTCGGGAACTTATTAGATCACATTGATCTTTTTAATAAGTGTGTTTCAGGTTCTTTAACCAAGACCACCATTACAATGGAAGCATTCATTTTATGTACTACTATTCAGGGAAATCATTGTCGTTGCTCAGCCCTTCCACACATCCCTTTTGTTTTCTCTCATGAAACTGCTTTTCATCTCCAAATGCAAAATATCCTGATAGACTTCTGGCTGCTGGCAGCGTTTAGGGGTCTTAGAAAAAGAACATCTATTCTTGCTGTAGTCACTGATGTAGAAGATCCTCCTCCTCCTCCTTGTTTGCCCCTGGCTTCCTGCAGTTCATGGAAGGCAAATCCACACACACATTCCTTCCACTATTTCATATTTACCAACCAAGGAGAAGAGTATCCTTTACTCCTCATTTGCTTATGACAGCTCTTTCATCTGCTGTGTTTTCCCTCTCCATTTCTGGACTTCTGATGCTGCCTTCCCTGTTTGCTATGTGGCTGTGCATACGCTACGTCTCTTCCTCACAGCACAGCAGGCACTAGAAAAGCCTAAACTGTCATTTGTTAGATGAATTATACTGCTCAGCACAGCACTTGGGAACTCCAGCAGCACCCCGGATTCCTGGCTTTGATCACTTGCCCGATCCTCTCAGGTGCCCAGGCCGGGCAGCTTCACCCACTTCCATACTTGCTGCATATAGCAGAAAGCACTAGTGCTTTTATTGCGAAGATCCTCTTTTCCGACACTTCTCTGACAGCAGCGGGGTGGATGGACCTCCCGAGTGCTTTTCAGGCATCACCTCAGTGTGCCTTTTTCCCTGGCGAGCCCCGCGTGTACTCACAACAGCTGTGAATCTACAGCTGCCTACTCCCCCACACCCGACCCCACCGTACGCTTGAGGGCCAGCGAACACGGTTTCAGACCGAATTTATTCCCGCCTCAACGCCCGAGGCGGCTGCGCGCCGCACACGGCGCCACAAAGCACCCCACTGCCCTTCCCGCCCTAACGGCCACGCACGCGCACTGCACCCGCCCCACCGACAGAGGGCGCACGCAGACGGCCGTGCGCATGAGTGCTGAGGGAAGCGGCTGTGTCACTTTCCCTTTCCGGGGCGGGCCCGTCTAGGCCGGTGGGGAGCTTTGCGCCCCGCGGTGGTGGCGCCGCGCACGCGCGGAGCGGATGGCGCCGAGGCCGCCGGCGGCCAGGTGAGGGGTGTCGGGGCCCGGCGCGCGTTACCGCTGAGAGCGCGGTGTGACCGTAGTGCTCGGGGCGGCCCGATCTCGGCTGGGACCGGCCCCGCCTCGCCGCGGGGAGGGGCTGCGCCGCACCTCTCGTCCCGCTGCGCTCCGGGACGGCCCGGCCCGGTCCTGCCCGCGGGTGAGGCGCCGGGGAGGCGGGCGGCCGTAAGAGCGCGGCGGTGTGGGAGGCAGCGCCGGGAGCGGGCTGCGGGGGGCTCGCCGTCCCGAGCGCTGCTTGCGGGTGGATGTCTCTCAGTTAGTTACGTCGTTAAGGGAAGATCGGCCGGCAGCTCGCAAACCTTCCCTTGGTGGGAGCCGAGGAACGGCCTGGAGTTGCGTCTTTGGGGGGACGCCGGTCGGATGCCGGCATGAGGTTCCGTCCGCAGAGCGGTCGGGCGTGGAGCGGGCTGCGTACGGCGGTCGCAGCTCCAGGGCCCGCAGCTGGAGAGCTGGGATAGCTGTCTCGGCCGTAGGGTTTGAACTTTGAATGGTGCTGTGTGGAGCCGGGAGCGGAGCTCTGTGAGCTTCGTGGGTCCCTTCGACGGGGTGCCTGGCTGGCAGAAGGGGTGCTTGTATTTCATGTATTGCTAGCTCTTCTTCACACTCGCATTCCATACGCAGTGCTTTCTTAACTAATGTCTGCTTTGGAGAAGGATAGGTAACAGAAGCTGGGATCCGGCTCCTTCATTTATCACTTGTCCATATCGCAAACATTCAGCCATGCTGTTCTGGTAGTGACTGCGAAGCAGGGTTATCTTCATAGCTTTTAATCCAGTTAAAATTCATACAGATTACAATGTATACTGATAACTAGTTTAAAATGCCAGTAATTACTGGATTTCCTGATCGTGATTCCTTGATAAGTCCTATCAGATGATTCTATGAACGAGACACAAAGCAGGGATAGCACCTAGGTTACTTTTCCGTAGTTCTGACAGCTCCATGTCTGTTAGCAGGTCAGCAGGTGTGACTGAAGACAGAAGTAGAAATGAGGCAGAAGACTAGTGACTAAGTTTTCTTCTGTTGAACGTTCTTCTGCCTTTACAGGCAGCCACTTAGCATGTCAGCAGTGTTATTTAACATATGGAATTCATTAATGGAGGTGCTAAGGCTTAAGAATTTCAAGCACAATTCTAGCCATCAAGTGTAAGGACCTTAAGGAGAAACTTACTTTTGGGGGTAGGTTATTCCAGAATATGTATGTTGCAGTGTTACTTGAGGTAGATGTCACTAGTCAGTGCTGTTAATGGGCTCCTGCTTTGTCTGTTATGTGAAGTTCAAAGTTTCTGTAATTTTAATTTAAATATACAGCTCTAACATGAGATGAAACTTGAAAGAGTTGCTTTATAGGAAATTTTTATGAATAGTATTGGTCAATTTCTGTGTTTCATCCTGTCAGCTTTTTGTTAGCTAAAGTCTCTCCTACCTTTTATAAGAGGAGAAACTGTTCTTAGTTTTACAAAAGCCTACCTACCCTTAGGAAGCATGGGAAGGTTGTTACGAGTACGTGTCGCAGGAGGCCATCATGTAACTGCATTTTTCTGTTTTGTCACTTCTAGTTCCAGACTTTCAGAATTTTCATTCAGAAAGGGTATGGGGAGGCATTTCTAAGGCCACATCTCCACTAGGAGTGACTTGCAGGTATACTGTGTGTTGTGCTTTTAGCAGTATGGATTTCTTCATCCCTATCTTGTTCTCTGATCACAAGACTTGCTTCATTCAGAGAATGAAACAGACTGTTATAACAAAACCACAGCTTTGCAGGTTTCAACTGTGTTTGTTGTGTGGGCTTCATCCAGCATGGCTGACTTATTTGCAATCCAGCTCCTAGAATAGCTGTTTGGAAGACAGATGTAACCTGGGCAACTTTAATTCTTGGGAATAAATTGTTTATGAGTAGCTTTTAGCTTGTTTTGCCTTTGTAGGAAGAAAAGTGGCTCTAATATTTTAGTTGTCTATTTACATTTCATTCTTTGAGTCATTTGAGCTACCCTGAAAGTCTCCAATTAATTTACTGGCAGTGTAGAAAGAAATAAGTGATTATTCCACTTCACTCAGAAGAGCCTTGATTTAGTTGCAGATGACTGCTGTACACTATATATCTGCTATTTGGTCTTGGTTAACCATCGTGCTGAACTTCAGAGCCATCCAGTAGAGCTGGGCATTGCATTTTTGCCAGTTCAGGAAATTACATTCATCTACAGGGATGTGGTTTGGTGGGCATGGTGCTGATGGGAGGGTGGTTGGACTTGATGGGGACTGGATGGTCTTAGTGGTCTTTTCCAACCTTAATGATTCTATGATTCTATTTACTAACATTTGTGGCTATAGAAGTTGTGGGTTATTGCCTCATCTGTCGGAATTTTTAGCAAAGTTAGAAATATGTACTGTGCTCCCAAAATGAATGTACCATGCACCAGTGATTTTACGTATGGAATGATTCTACTTCAGGTAATACAGTAAGATTGGCAGACCTGTGCTCTGTACTTGACTTGCCAAGCTACTGAAGGAAAGAGCTGAACAAGATATGGTCATCTGCCCTTCCGCCAAATCCATGTCTGTAGTACTTCTGAATCCTCTTGGATTTATCTACTGGCAGTGTTCACAGCAATGGCGTGTTTTAAAAGAGTAATTGCATTCAACAAGAACAACAAAAAAACTGTACTGTACTTCTGCTTCAATTAATTTCTTTATTTCTGTCTTAGATTTTTCAACATGTTTTAACCTACTCTGAAGGACTCAACAGCCACGTCTACTGTGGTATCATTCCCTTGTAGTTGGTACAGGGAACTGAAAGATTGGATTGTGGGAACTTCCTTGAAACTTAAGAAATTAGCCTGAGGCAGGTGGAAGGCTTGAGTCCCAAAAGTTCTGCAAAGTAATGTGATGCAAAGAATTGTGGCCTGTCTTTTCTGTTCTCTAATGTGTTATTAAATATGAATAGTTCAGAGTGTTTTGTAGGGAATAAGCAGTGGTTTCACTGGCAAGTGTTTGCTAACCTAAATCTGTGATAAAAAGCAAATGTGTAGCTGGAAATTTAATAGAATTCCACAGATTGCTTAACAGATGCCTCAAAACTTTGATAAGATTTGTGCAAGGACATGCATAGCTGCTTTTGACTTATACTGTTGGATCTTTTGTTAGATCCAGAGGAAGTCTCTGTTTTGTTTTTTAATGGTTTTTATAGTTCCTCAATGGAAGAGGTGTTGAAGACAGCCACCAGCACTGGGGAAGCATGGAGACAAAATAGTCACGTATTGACACCCTCAAAAAAATACTGAGCACACGGATGGAAATGAAGAGCTTGAACCATCACTTCAGCATGGCAGCAGCTGAATCTGACAAGGACTCCGGATACTCAGGTTTAGAAAGACAGTGCTACTTTTCTTTTTTCTTCCTGTTTTCAGAGTGCTGGTGATATTGGATAAAGCTGACTCCAACCCTTTGCAGTTTGTGTTTGATTACATGGTAGGGTCTTCATATCTAAGGCAGGTTAAAAAATAATCCTACCATCAAAATTTTTGGAGTGGAGCGTTGTGTAGTTCATCCTGTGAGTTTCAGTGGCATGAGAATATAAAAATGTGCTTAACAAAGAACTGAATGGAGGAATCCTTTTCTTCAGAGTCTAGAAGTGGGAATGGAAATTAACTTTTGTTCTTTGCAGTGATCAATGAACTATTGGATTATGTCATGTAATGTCTTGCAGTTTGACTGGATTGTCATTAGAGCCTGATAAAACTGTGATTTTTGTAACATCAGCAAAATGTAGACAGTATGTTCTGTTTTAATAATCAACAAATAATCATACAAAGATTCCCTTTAAAAGTTAAAAGTGTTTTTGTGGGAGGTACTGTGCACACTGGGTTTGTGGGTAGCAGATTTAAAAATGCAAAAGATTGCAGCATGGACCTGAATCTGCTAGCTCTTTTGTGTAACAGTCTTCAGAGCTGACTTTGTGGTAGCATGTCATCCCTTGGAGACTAAATACAGATGAACAAAAATAAATAGATTTTCGTGGAGACAGTATTTGCATCAGAACTGTTGTGAAATACAAAAACTTTTAATAAATAAAGGTCACTTAATAGCTGTCACAAAAGATCTAATTTTATTGGTATTGCAGAATTGAACTTCATTATTCACTATGCTTAATTGAAAGGGCACAGAATAGTAGAACAGAAAGGAAACAGTAAGCATGCTACATGAGAAATTACTAACAGCTGAATTCTACATTTGGCAGATGGCAGTTCAGAGTGCCTAAGTGCTATGGAGCATACTGACTCTGAGGATGTCCTGAATGCGCTGTGTTGGAATGCAGAGGATGGGCCTTGGCCTTGCCCTGTGACCACAAGCAGCTCCTTTCCTGCACTTTCTCCTATGGTTGTAATGAAAAATGTTCTAGTAAAGCAGGTAAGGAAAAAATAATATATCAGAAAATACTGCAAAAAAAATTTTTTTATATTTTCTTTTCAAAAAGGATTGTATGAAGTTGATGCAGTCCAAAAAGTAAGCAGTAATTTGTAAAGTTTTGTTAATAACAACCCGTCTTTTGGAGAGGCAGCTAAAACTGCTAAGGGGGGAAAAAGATGAAGTACCGAAGCTGCATTGCATCTGCTCTTTGCCTCAAAGGGATCTGCAAAAAATAGATCTTTATGATGTTATTCAAATGGCACCAAAGATCAAACCAGAATAAGTATTTTTCCATTCAAAAGCTGATGATTTCTTGGTCTAGTACTAAATGTGGAGGTTGGTGGCCCTGCATGTGGCAGGAGGGTTGGAGATTCGTGATCTTTGAGGTCCCTTCCAACCCTGGCCGTTCTGTGATTCTTTCTTGTTCAGTTTAGACAAAGGAGTAGGATGATTGCTTTTGCTTTCCACTTCTTAGATTCTGGAAATGCTTTGGATGCAATATGAAGCCTTCATCTAGAAAGTTATAAATGAACAAATCAAATCTGTATCTAAAATTAGTTTCAGTATATTTATTTGAGCAGCTTTTTTCTTAATTACATATCATGTCTCACGTTGCAACAATTACATTCCATGTTTGTACCTTCCAATATCATATTATGTGTTACTCCTCTAGCGCTTCTGTGTGACATCAAAAAGGTCTGTAATGTGACAGAAGGTGCAAAAGCTACAAGTTTGAAGTACTGCTATACTGTTAGGCTTCTTGCTTCTACTCGTGTTGATAAACAAGGCAAAAGTACTTCAGCCTTTTTTACTATTAGAATACGTATGAGAATACAGCAAGAGTGAAGAAAAAAGAAATAGATCTTCATTCTTTTATACTGAATCTGTTTTGAAAAGGAGAAAAATCTGTTAAATGCTGTGTGTCAGAGCCAGCATAGAGGTGGGTTCTTGCTAATATTTCATAGAATCATTAAGGTTGGAAAAGATCTCAAAAACCGTCTAGTCCAACCGTCCATCCATCACCACCATGCCCACTAAAATGTGTCCCTGAGTGCCATATCTGCATGTTTCTGAAATACCTCTGGGGACAGAGACTCCAACAATTCTCTGGGTAACCTGTTCCAATAATTTGACAGGTCATGCATTTGTTGGGGCACATGGTTCTGATCTGAGCATTGTGCTTCATCTTAACAAGAAGCTTTTTTTTTATAGCCATGTTCTCAGATGTGTGGACAGAACGCACATGACTTAAAACACAAATGCCCAGGTTCTCTTGTAATAGGGAAGAGACAAGCTTCATCACAGACTGATAGCTGTTGGTCTGGGGTTCAAGAATTGGGCATTTTGAATTCTTGATTTTGTTACAAATAGGAAGGAGAAGTATCCATATGATACACATAACTTGAATGTTGATAGTGTAGCAAAAGGAAAAAAAGATGCAGAGGAAGATGTAGATAAAATTACCAGACTCAGTTAATTGGAGCCGTTCATAACATTTAAATCTAATTATTTGTGGATAAGGACAGTCATTTTAAATTGAAAATGTTCATTTCAATAAGTAAAAGCAGCAAGACAAGGTCAGAATGATGGAGTGTCTTTCTAGCTCTTTCCACTGAGTCTTGTTACCTCAAGTAGTCATGCTGATCATCTTATTAATGTGCTCTTTTCAACACAATTCTCAATTAGGCTCTCTGGACCAAAATAATAATAATAATAAATAATAATAATAATGCAGTGTCCCCAGCTACCACAGTTTATCTGTTTCAGTCTCGGTCAGCATCACCTTCTGTCCTAAAACCACTGTGTTTCTGCTTAGTGATGTTTATCTGCTGTCCTGATTTCAGAGTGCAAACAGCTAACTATGTTACTAAAAAAAATAAAGCAGGAAGTGATTCTCTGGAATACAGTAGTGCTGAGGTAAAGTTTTTAGAAGTTTATAATAGGTGAGAAGGCTTTTTAGGTGAGTAACACTGGTATGTGCAGGATGTTGACTGCAGAATTTGTAAAACTAAATGTCTCCTCTACTAAAAATGAGATTTTTGGGTGTGACAATAAGAGCAGAACATAATGAGAATGGAAAGGACAAGAAAGTGAATAGTGGAGATGGGAGTAGGGGATAAAAACAAGAGCGTGGTAGACTGTTATCACAGTTCTTTAGGCCTCGATGAATTTGGGGCTCCAGTATGCTGGGTACTGCATAAATAACAATTTCTGAGTCCTAAGCCTTGCTCTTAAGGTTTCATGTTCTGTCTGATGTTTATATAGCCATGGTATGTATATATACTTGACCACTCTTAATTTGTCTGGGTACCTTTCTTTTGGATGTGTTCTTTTGTCTGTGAAATAAGGAACTAATGTTAACTACTACAGAGCTTCTTGCCCACTGAACTCAGTGTCAGAGTTGGTAATTGAATCTCATCGCCGAGTCTCAATATCTGAATCAGTGGATGGTGCCCACCTTTGTCAAGTTAAGTCTTCTGCTGACAGGAGTGGACTTCAGCAAAGCATGTTAGCATTTGCCAGTTTAAATGTTCTGAGGCTGAAGAAAGGAGGCTGGATTTCAGACGAATCAAAATAGTACAAAAAAGAATGAAATATTGTAGTGCTGCTAAAACTAGTGCCCTCAGCAGGCCTGCAGTAACATTCCAAATAATGGAAATTGGAGAAACAGGAGAGAGTTTATTGTGCTAGAAGAAGTGAAGATTTTTTTGTTTTTGTTTTTCCTGAAAGAAGTACTATTTTTTACCAGACCATTTGATACGTCAAGAGAAAGGTGTGCAGGACAGGAGATCTCATGAAGTTCCCCAGTAGTGTATTTGTGAAAGAAAAGGTAAAGTCTTGTAAAAATCGATGTATTACCCTACCTATATTGCAGAATGTGATTTGTGGAAGGACATAAAGACTTGAACACTTTTCTTGACATATAATGCTTTTAAGGCATTGCACAGGATTTCACCAAAAGGATGGAATTACTGTCTGGGGCTTAGAACAGGCAGTTTTCCTTGAATTGGTTGATAGTCATTATTTTTTCTTCTTTCAACTTCATGGTTTTAAATTTATTGCAACTGTTTATTGTACTTGTGATTCTAAGACTTACTGAGCAGCTACGTTAAGTAATGTCTGTGTTAAATAACCATTTCAAAAGCTTGCTGTAAGAATAGAAATGACAGAATTGGAGTTGCTGCATTTCAACAAAGAGGGAGTCTGAATTGCTCCTGAAATACGTGTGCTGTCTCCAACTCTTCTGGAATATTTCATAACCAGAATTTTTCAAGTTTATTTTTCAAATTTTCTGTGTACTTCTTCTTTAGCCTCAAGTGCAGTAATAATTTTACACTAGCACTGCATGATACAAGCATGCACTGTAATTCTTATTAGGGAAAGTGTGTATAAATTGAATTGTTTTTAAATATATTCTCTATGTATGGTTTTCAGCTTTGATTTTAGTGTTACGTTCTGTTGTCAGAGAAGAACAAGTTTGATAATAAGCTGCTCACAGTATGTTACCTTGTGTAGCATGTATCAATTATGAAGAAATGGCATAATTCACCTGTTTTGCTTAAGGTTTTTTAATCCTTATCAGTAGCACTGCTGTAAGAATTGTTTTTCCCCATTTATGCTTCTCAGGGGAGTTCATCCCAGCTCCAGTCTTGGACTGTCCAGCCATCCTTTGAAGTGATTCCAGCTCAGCCACAGCTGGTATTTCTTCACCCATCAATCCCACCTCCCATTAACCCTCACCCTGTCGGGAAAAAGAGAAACGATCCCACTAACTACCTGCCCATCCTGAACTCTTATCCCAAAATAGCACCACAGCCCTGTAAAAGAGATCACTCCTTCGATCTAGAGGAACATCAGGAAACCAGTTGCCATAAACGACTCTGCACAGAAGCATCTAAAATGGAGACTTCTCCTATATCAAGGAGCACAGGTTTGTCTACTACTAGTCCTTTTGCCCATCTGCCAGTTAGCTTTAAGGCTCCTCAAGATTCTAACCAGCAAAGTTCTTCAAGTTTGATGACAACTGGAAAAGTGTCAAATCTTCCTGGTTTACATCGCGTTTCTGCTGACACTCCAAAAGTTCCAGGTTTGGCTTCTCTTTTGCCTTTTGGAACTCTACAGACAGCAAAGTGCACTCCTCATGAGAATGAGAGTGCATCACAAACTACAATGCAGTCTGCAGTGTGGAGCCTGCCACTGATACCAGAAGAGACTTGCACTACCCCCGAGCTGCTTTTGCAACAGCAAAGTAAGTGCAGACGCTTTCAGAATACACTCGTTGTGCTACGCAGGTCAGGATTGCTAGAGATCACTTTAAAAACCAAGGAGCTCATTCATCAGAACCAGGTGACTCAAGCTGAGCTGGACAGGCTGAAGCACCAAACACAACTTTTCATAGAGGCAATAAAGAACAATGCTCCACAGTCATGGGCAGAGCTAGAAGCATCGCTAACAGGTTCAGATAAAGCTAATAGCAACCTTGAAGACTCCACTTATCCAAACATGTAGTAAAATGGTACATAGATGTTAAGTTATTCCTGTGCCTCCTATTTCCTGTCTCAAGCTTTTACTTGAACATTCTGAGTCCAAGATGTGCAAGGTAGCATGCCATTCACAGCTTGTCTTTACAGCCATCCGTGGGACTGGGACTGGGACAGCACAGTGGGATCTTGGCAAGATGACTACTCACTACTCCAGTATGACCTTGAACTCCTTGCTAACTCTATACTGTCTTGGACTTCAGAAGCTTGGATGTGCTCTGCTGGCATGCTCCCATTCTTGCTGTGAGAAGACAGTCATTTGCAGAATTCTGCAAGCAAGTCTTTTCCTATTCCCATCTTCAGATTGTGAGTTCTGAGAGTGGCATGGCAAAACAGTCCCCAGTATTGGGCTGTCATCAGTTGCAGGAAGGGAGTTGGTGTGAGGAGAAGATCAGTTTGGTGGGGTGCTATCAGACTGTTGCTGACTGTCGACAGAGAGTCTTGCTTTCGGGGTTACAATTGTTTTGAATTAGTGAAGATCTGCTTGTGGTGAAGCAACATTCTGTATTTACTGCAATCTTTGACCAAAGTGACAAGAGTCTTAGGAGCCCGCTGACTTGATTTTGTTGAGTATATGTTGGATTTTGGTCTGTAAGGATGAATGAAGGAGAATTGCAAGGCTTGCACTGGAAGTGTTTGTTTCAAAGCTGTATTTATTTGCACTTCCCGTTAGTGACTAAAAAGTGTACGGAGCAAAAGGCTTTAGATTTTCTTGGTAGAATGCAGAGGCATTTTTAAACATTGTGCAAGAAAGACACTTGTTCACCAGAGTTAATTTGGCAAGACTAGTTAAATGTTATTTTATCCATATATCTTTCGTTTATAAGGCTAAACTCTTTTTTTTTTTTTTTTTTTTTTTTTTTTTTGCTGTGAAATTGCTCCCAGTCTTGTTCAGCATCTGCATCAGTGACCTTGATGATGAGGGGATAGTGTCCACGCTCAGCAAGTTTGCTGATGATATGAAGCTGGGAGGAAGCACACCAGAAAGCTGTGCTGCCATTCAGCGAGACCCAGGCAGGCTGAAGAGTTGGGCAGGGAGGAACCAGATTAGGTTTAACAAGAGCAAGTGTAAAGTCTTGCACCTAAGGAGGAATAACCACATGCACCAGTACAGGTTGGGGGATAACCTGCTGGAGAGGAGCTCTGCAGAAAGGGACCTGGGACTCTGCAGTGTGCCCTGGTGGCCACGAATGCCAATGGTGTCCTTGGATGCCCTAAAAGGAGTGTGGCCAGCAGGTCAAGGGAGGTGATCTTTCCCCTCTACTCTGTCCTAGTGAGGCCTCATCTGGAGTACTGCATCCAGTTCTGGGCTCCCCAGTACAGAAAAGACAGGGATCTGTTGGAAAGAGTCCGTCAGAGGGCCGCTAAGATGACAGAGCGCTTGAAGCACCTCTCTTATGAGGAAAGGCTGAGCAACCTATGTCTGAAAAAAGAAGGCTGAGAGGGGTTTGATCAATGTCCGTAAATATCTAAGGTGCTGGAGGCAAAGGGACAAGGCCAGACTCTTTGCAGCAGTGGCGATAGGATGAGGGGGAATGGCCACAAACTGAAGCTTAGGAAGTTGCACACAAATGTGTATGAAAACTTCTTCATGGAAAGGGTGAAGTGACGGAGCACTGGAACGGGCTGCTCGGAGAGACTGAAGCCTCCTTCTCTGGAAATGTTTAAGACCTGCCTGGATGCCTACCTGTGGAACCTGGTCTAGGGAGCCTGCTTTGGCAGGAGGGTTGGTCTAGATGATCTTTAGAGGTCCCTTCCAGCCCCTACAATTCTGTGAATCTATGAAATCAATTGCTAAGAATGAAAAAAAGGAGAGAAGTGAGAGTAGAAGGGGCCCATGGGAAAACAAGTCCTCCCATCTCCCTTCCCTCCTTTTTTTTGTTACTGAGAGAAATTGAGTGAATATGTGTACTTAAAAATAACTAAATAAAAAGATGTCAACTTGGAAAATCTTGCTGAAAGTTTTATCTGCTTGAGTTTGAAGTTAAACAAAACCATTTTTGTCCATGTAACTGTGTCTCATCCCTAGCCTGCTTGACATTAAATGTAGTTAAGGGCTAACATCTTATGCAGTGGTATTAGCAGACATCTGCAGTTGTCAGTTGCAAAAGCTATTCTACAGATGTCAGTTTATCTAGACACTTTTGTCAGTCCCTCCAGTAAAAAGGGTCTGTTTGCTTTTTAGCAGAGGCAGGCTGTACAAACGAACTAAGAACGTCTCTTCCTATGAGGGATAAGAAATCTGGATTGATTATAGCGTGTTCATTTCCACTTGAAAATGCTTTCCAAAAAGTGTGCCATATAGATTTCTGGGTATTTTGATGCTCTGATCACTTCATTTCAGATTCGTAAAAGAGGTACTTGAAATTATAGTAGAACTCTCGCTAGTTTGTGGTTAGACCCCTTCATTTTCTGATGCCTTTGGGAATTAAGATTAGAGAAGGCTGTGGAGAATGCTGTTCTAGACTTCCTAAAATACACTCAGTAGAAAAGGTGCAAGGGATTTCCCTCTAATAAGGGGTTTTCCCCTATTTAGGGAAAAACCAATGTAAAGAAATGCTGTAGATGTCTCATGTGGAGGAGAAATGGGAGTGATGTTTTCCCTAGCCAGAGGCCTAGAGATAAATGTGTCAGGGTTCCCCATAAAGCCGTTTATGAGCTGTAACAAACTAATAGCAGTGTGTTTCATTGTTCATCCTGTTCTCCTGCTGAACTGCTGTGCTGCTGCTCCTGTAGCATGGTACATAGGAATATACTGAGACAGATTTTTGAAGACTGTGTGGTGTTTTCACTATAATTGTGCATAATAGGATATCCCAACTTGCAGCACAGCAGTATCAAAATTAAACCAGAGAAAACAAAAGGCAGGAAAGCAGCATAATACAGTGTAACAATGTAGGACGTAACTAGCTCTTCCAGAACTGCATGTGATATCTGCATTAAATGACAATTGTTGGGTGGGTAGATGTGGTGGGGCCCTGTGCCATTTGTGTAAGAATCCCAGAGGATGAGAGCTTCTTAGAGGAAGGAGTAGGAGGCAGTTCCATTGATCTGATACCTTTAATAGTCTTAGAGGTGTAGTGTGGGAAAGTGCATAGGGTATCTATTCTATTTTTCTTAGCATTCTTATTCTGTCTATCAATTATAGAGAGGAATAGGAAGTTCAGAATGTGTTAATAGGAAGTGGTTGTCTTCCTAGAAAACACGATGGATTCAGGTTTTCTCTAGAGATGAAAGGAGGTAAGAAAAATGAAGTTGAATTCCAGCTGTATATGATGAATGAGTACACCGGTGACCTCTTAAATGATTCTGTGTCATTACTTCGATGGGACCTTCAAAGATCATCGAGTCAAACTGCCTAACTGCTTCAGGGCTAACTGAAAGCTCAAGTGTGTTAATGAGGACATTATCCAAATGTCTTTTCTAATATTTCAAGCATGGGGTATCATCCCCCTCGTAGAGATTTCCTCTAGGAAACTTGTTCCACTGTTTGACCACCCTTACAGTAAAGAATTTTATTTTTTTTTACTATTTGATGTCCTTCCTATTTCTGTTGCTCTGTTGGAGTATAGGGAATGGAAAACCTGGCCTTGCACTGGCAAAAAACTTGGCCTGGCACTTTGGCTTAGGGAACCTCTAGCTGCTAAAACTCTCTCATAGTCCTCTCAGCACCACGTACATTTTTCCCTGACGACACCAAGAGCGAGCTGAAGTGTATGCTTACAGCTGATAGGCATTTCAAATGGTTAATTTGTATAAGTATGTATTTGATAAATCTGGAATAATGTCCAGCAGCTGGTTAGAAATCTACTGGGCATCAGTGCAGATTTAAAGAGGTTTTGCTGAACTAGAAAAACTCTTAGAGCTCTGTATGGGTAAGGCCAGGGCCCCATAGGAGTTGTATCCCTAGACAAATTTTGCTTCAAAATTTGCAGTTACCATAAAGGATTTTGAAGGCCCTAATAACAGATACATTGTCAGATATCTTTCTGTTCAGTTTCTCTTAGCCGCCTTTATTCCGAGAAGTCCTAGTAAAGCTTTAAACAGTAAGGACTTTCCTTTCTTGGCTGCAATTTAATAAAACAGCATAGCTCTGGTGCTCTTTTGAGGAAAATTTAGTTGACTGTATTAGGGCAAGAGTCGATGTTGATTCTGGGCAGGGATCTGGAAGCGGTCCAGCGGAGATGAGCAGAAACATTAACCTCTTTAATTGGAAACATGCAAGCAGTAAACTTAGAGAGCTTTTTTGTTTTGGTTTGGTTTTTGTTTGTTTTTTTTTTTTAACTTTAAAAGTGGCAAGACAAGTTGGTCTAAAGCACGTGTCCCAGTCTAAAAAGTCAGTGAGATGGTCTGCTGGGGCTTCAGTTCCTGCTACAGTTAGCAAGCAGGGTATCTTCATGGCTCAGACAAACTGCTGTTTTTCTATTGAGGTTAAATAAACATTGGTATTTTTGATTACTTTTGCTACATATTTTTGAAGATCTACTGCTCTAGTTGGAATGTAAACTTTTTCTGTACCTTTTGAGTTCATTGTCAGCTTTGAATACAGTAGCCTAAGAGCCCTGTTATAAAACATGACCTTTTTGTTAAATCTTTACAGAAATAGACTGTGAAATATGAATCAAATAAAGTATATAGTTGAAAAATATATGGCTTGGTCTAGTGCTGTTGAGCTGCCAAGTCCTTGATTCCAAATCATGCTTTACTTATTTCCACAAGACCATGTTGCCCATGTGGGAAAGTGCAGATCCAAAAGTGATACTATGATTTCTTACTGAAGAGTGACATGTGAGCTTTAACAGTGTATGTGAATTAAAGGATTTCTGGGAGGAGCCTGACTCAAAGTGGCCTGTACAGAACTCTAAAAATATATTGCAGTGCGTGACCATTGCCATAGATTTGTCATGAAAACTTGGAAGAATTTTTCAGTTCCTTAACTGTTACTTCCATGTGATGACTGTACATTATACTCACTGTCTGTGCAGGGCGAACTCCTACACTAGCTTAATCTGCCAGCCAGGTATGCGTAAGGTCTGAATTGTGAAGGGTATGGATAGTTTGTTACCAAAAGGATTACTTGGGTGAAAAAATTTAGTCCCTTTCTTGGAGGAGAATGCTCATCAACTAAATCTGTATCCCAGATTTTCAATAAAACAGGTTTTTCAAAATGTGGTTGTCTTTTCTTCAAAATCAAACTTACAGCAAGAACTAGGCAGTCATTCCCAAAACACCCAGCAACATCATGGCTTGAGATACCGTCATAAAGTAAGGTACAGGAGATTCTGCTTCAAGTTTTCTCTTTGAGCTAGGCGGGACAATGGCTTGAACCATACTGCTTTACATCCAAAGAGGAGTGCCATCAATGGAGGTCTTTCTATTCACTGAGAGTGCAAACTCACTGTTTGCAGCCTTTGTTCTCCTGACAGGTATAGGTACAAGTAAAGCAGTAGATTTTTTCACCAACACAGTGTTTCCATCTCTTCTGGCTCGATTTTTTTACACTATGAAGTCTATCTACAGGATATTAGGCCTGCTAATCTTTATTTCACTGAGGACGAGACTTGCTTCTTTATCTTTCTGATAACACAAAAGTCTGAAAGGAGCGGAGTCCCCAGCAGACTTGAGCTGAGGACAAAATTTCTGGCATGCACTAGGCTGTAGCTTGCTGTTACTGCTTTTTTTTCTCTCTATTCCGGGACAGAAATAGGGGCTCCTGCCTACACAGTTTTACACTCTTTCTTTATCTGTGTGTTAATTCCTTGCAGGCAGCTGTATAGTGTAGCCATACAGTTCTCAACTGTATAATGTGTTCCAAAGTGTCCAAAATGCATGAGACTTCTGTCTGTGAGACAAATTTAACTGCTCGAGTGTAAATTCCGCTTGTCTGACTCAGAAGACAGAAGGAAACAGTGTTTTGGCCTCCTCTATTGTGGAGTGCAGTTTCCAAGACTTTCTCAAATTCTTGTTTGAACTAAAGT